AGATGCATTTTGGATCTTCATCTCCGTGACACCGTCATGGATACGCACCAGGCTAAGGCCATACTTTCGAATAGATGTTTGTTGTTCAACTTTGTTCAGTTGAGCATCAGAAATTAACGATCCTGCTAATGGGAAGAAGATTCTCGTTGATATGGGTATAAACCCAACATCAACGTCGATATGTGTGTGCACCTTGGTAGGTAAACGCTTCTTTGACACCCTTCCTCTCTATTGATCGTCCAACAGGCTTTCTTCTCTTTTCGTCGGACCCTTTTACCCTACCTCAACCGCATCTGTGACCTTTTCCTTCATGAAGGTACACGACCCATCCCATTTATTCTGCCATATGATGCGATCCCCACACCTCGGATGGGCTTAAGGGTTGTAATGCAGAATAATCTTCTTCAATTCACGACTAAACCAAACGTTTCTGTCTTTACAGCCTGGCAGACATTTATTGCGAACGTTCTTCCCCCCGGCCACTTGACCTCATAATCTTTGCTAGACAGAACCTCGATGAATACGAAAACTACGAGACATGACTCCGCCTGCGTACCTCGCCTTCAAAGTATTCAAGTCATAGAATTTCCCGTCATCGTGAATTGTGCACGGTTTGTCGACGTCAGCTATAGCGATGGTAATCAGGCCTAGAATGACGAGGTTCGCCTTGTAGCATGTTCTTGACAACATTACTTTGAATTGCCACTGGGCGTCGACACGTTTAGGCAGGGACACCAGTTGTTGTCACGCCTGTCACACCTTCCCGCCCAACTCCGACGAGGAATCGACATCGTTGACGTTGCCTTGAACAGCGACCAATGTCTTCCGTGCTACTGCGCTCGTTGGCGCGAACAACGACGAGGACGACGCCTGCGTCGCGGCTTTTACGCAGGAATATATGTGCAACCCCCGTTGCTCGGCGGGCTGCTGAACCGTCTCTTGAGGAGGGGGCAAAAACTGCTTTCGACTATCATACCGTGGAGGATTTGCAGCATTTGGACGCTTCGGAAATCTTGCCAACGCCAGGAAGTAAAGAGGATGCGAAAATGAGGCATTTCACAGGTAAGTAATGGGTTTGTTGCTCATATCGTTGCTGATGTTTGCTGTAGTTAACTTCGGGTAAGCCATCCATTCTGCAAAAAGGACGTTGAGGACTAAACGTCGCGGATAGTCCTCAGCATCCAGCTGCTCACGGTGTGCTGCGTATGATTCTGGAACTCAATGGAGAAGAGATTCTGCGAGCGGACCCAGTACGTGCAACCCTTTAGTTCGGAACCCCCAGGCTTACTTCATTTCCAGCACATCGGTCTGCTTCATCGCGGTACAGAGAAACTTATTGAATACAAGACGTACATCCAAGCCCTACCCTACTTTGACCGTCTCGACTACGTTTCAATGAGTATGCTATCACCTCTTCTCTTCTTTCACCAACTTACCTGTACCCACAACAGTGACGAACGAGCTCTGCTACTCGCTAGCGGTAGAAAAGCTTCTGAACATCGAGGTGCCTGCCTGTGCCCAATGGATCCGAGTTCTTTTTGGGGAAATAACACGAATTCTTAACCGTAAGCCATAACCTGTGTTCGCCTCGTCTTAAATCAATCTTACCCCACCTAAAAGATCTCATGGCCATCCTCACACACGTCATGGACGTCGGTGGTCTTACCCCTTCCTCTGGGGCTTCGAAGAGCGCGAAAAGCTCATGGAATTCTACGAACGCGTTTCCGGCGCGCGTTTGCACGCCGCCTACGTCCGTCCGTGAGATGTAGCCTTCGACCTCCCCCACGGGCTCCTTGACGACATCTTCAAATGGGGAACCCAATTCAGCAGTAGGGTTGACGAGATTGAGGAGGTCGTCACGGGCAACCGTATTTGGAAAGAGCGGACGATTGGGATTGGACCTGTCACTGCCAAGCAGGCATTGGATCATAGTTTCAGTGGGGTTATGCTGCGTGGTAGTGGGGTTGCGTGGGATTTGAGGAAGGTGGCTCCGTACGACAAGTACGATGAGGTATGTGGCTTGTTTTTTTGCTTCTGCCAAAGGGAGAAGGCTCAAAGAGATTCGACAGGTTGAGTTCGACATTCCTGTAGGCAAGAACGGTGACTGCTATGACCGCTACTTGTGCCGTGTCCAGGAGATGCGAGAGAGCTTGCGGATCATTAGCCAGGCGCTCAACAAGATTACCCCTGGTGCTGTGAAGGTCGACGACCACAAGCTTGTGCCTCCACCCCGTGCTATGATGAAAGAGAGCATGGAGTCGCTCATCCATCATTTCAAAGTAAAGTTGCCGTCTTCGTTTCATAAGAACCGTTGATGATTTATATTCGTTCTAGATCTTCAGTGAAGGGTACTCTGTACCCCCAGGCGAGACTTACAGCGCTATCGAGGCCCCCAAGGGGGCGATGGGCGTCTACCTCGTTTCGTGAGTGACCTTTCCCTCTACCCGTTTCTTCCATCAGTTGACGTGTTAACCCAATCCAGCGACGGCTCCAACCGCCCATACAGGTGTAGTATACGCGCCCCTGGGTTCGCTCATCTTGCTGGTTCATATTTCATGATGAGACGTATGTGTTTCCCCTGCTCCTCTTCCACTACATGCTGACGTAATCACAGATGTCAGCCATTTCTTCACTTGTTTGGTAACTCTAGGAGTGTCTCCCACCTGCATCAACCGCGACCTTCCCTGGTGCCTGCTTGTTCTCTGTCATGGTGCGTTTCAATCCATCGTCATTAAAATGTGTTTACAGAGAACGACTACGGCTACACAGATTCGACTCGCGCGGACCCTCCAATTTCCCAAGGCATACTACTGGCAACGTCCATGGTCCTGCACACCTTTTGAGGAAAGGTGGGAGTGGAGGTGATTGTTACTTCCGTACCGGGGTAAGCAAGCTCATTTTACTCTCCTTCTCTTCATCATTGTCATCATGCTGATATATTATCCACCCGAAGAGGATTCAGACGGCTTGAGCGCAGCGCCCCACGTACGTGTAAATCGTCCAGGACCTCGGACTACACCACTTGCTCTCAAAATGTGCGCTGGGGGCTGGAGCAGTGTCCCTGCACGAGCTCTTGTTGACCCCTCCTCGAATTGTAGTTTGAGCTATTACTGTTGGACGTGCAGATCGCGCTGTTGAAGGAGGAGGAGATGATGGGTGTTGTCACCCTAGACCCCATCCCCGATTCAGTGGGAGAGTCTGTTTGACAGATTGCAGGGAGAGCGCTGTTCCTGGCAGCCTCAGCAGCTTCTTGGCCCTGCTCATTCCAGATTTGGAGGTGACTGGTAGCTTCTCAAGAAGCTCGAGGTGCAAAATGAAGCTGCGACGACGTGGATTTGTCGTTGTTCCTCAGTCTCATTATCAGATTCATTGTTGGTCCATCCCTCAGAACTGGAAGATGAGGACCCAGTGTCTTCGATCAGGGACGCAACGTCTGACAAGGATGAGGAGCTGGAAGATCTGAATGGCCCGTTTAATTTATTCTCATCTTCAATTCGCAACTTTCATTCCAAACGGCACGCCATGAATACAGACCATCAATCCCAACGGCTCCACCGAAAAACCTCCAGTTGGTTATTTCAAGAGCGATGAAGAAGAAAACGAAGAAGCACCAGATCAAGACGACGATGCTATTAAATCTGACGATGTGCTCTGGGTAGTTGGGACGGACCGGATGACTCTGCGGATCCAAAAAAGTGAGTCCATTGCAAAGTCTTCACCATCACCGTATTCAATTTTTGTACAGCTGGTCGTACGGGAAGAAGTGGGCCGCAACGCTTGTGGTATCATCATTCACGTTCATCAGTCCCGTTTCCTCGTCCATGGTCGCCCCAGCGACAGAGCAGATCGCAACTCAGTTTGGAATGACGAGCGAGGTGCTCAGTGCGATGACGGTGTCTATTTTTGTTTTGGGATGCGCCGTTGGTCCCTTGGTGAGTTCGCATGTTTCGCGTTTTATATGAAGCTGAGGTCTTTTGAAGTTTCTTGGACCTATGAGTTAAATATACGGCCGTTCTGGAGTACTTCAATCAGCAAATCTCTTCTTTCTTGGTATGTCACCCCAACGACGGATTAAATCTTCGAATAATCACTTCTTTTATTGTACTTGTAGCGTGGAACATTGGGTGTGGATTCGCGCAGAATAAACTGCCTTTCGCTTTCTATCGGGCCTTGGTGGGAGCGCCCCTCTGTGTGTACGTTTCACTGCTTCCTGGCTGCGCTCTCTTTGCTGACCCTCGTCCTCCACAGGTCGGTGGAGGTGTCCGTGGTGACGTCTGGCGTGCGGAAGAAAGAGAGAGAGCGATCGCTATCTATTCTCTCGCGCCTCTATTAGGACCTGTCGTTGGCCCTGTATGCGGTGGTTGGATCGCGGAACGGTCTACGTGGCGTTGGATGGTGAGTGCTTCCTGTCCCTTCTGTCCTTCCCATTGCTGTATGCTGACGGACTCGTCAATGCAGTTTTGGGCAACAAGTGTCGCGGACGCCGTTGTCCAAATATCTGGTTTCTTCTTTTTGCAAGAAAGTGAGTGTTGCTTCCCCTCCTTCCGTTATGGTATCTTACCCCCTGATAGCCTACGCTCCATTGCTTCTCATGAGGAGCCTTCGATAATGATAACAATCGAACGTGTGCCTTCAATCATCTACTTTTCGGACCTTGATTTAGTTCTCCTGACCTCTTCCACGTAGCTGGCAACACGTGTTCTCGAAAGCCCTCATTCGACCGTTCATAGTTTTTGCAAACGAGTGAATTATACAGGTCCTTGGACTATACATGGCCTTCGTCTACGGCATTTTCTATCGTAAGCCCTCATTCCTCGTTTCTGAAGTGCATCCTCTCACTTGTATCCAACGGGAAGTGTTTCTCACTACCATGCCTTCCTTCATCGCCCACGTCTATAATGAGGGACCCGGCGTTCAGGGACTGCACTATTCGCTCTCGGGGTCGGCCTCGCAATCTGCTATCAAATGAATGCCCGATTCATGGGCAAGATCTATATCTACTTCAAGTGGAAGAATGGGAACGTCGGGGAGCCAGAGTTCAGGCTGCCATCCATGGTCCCCAGGACAATCATGGTGCCGATAGGGCCGTTCCGTCAGATG